TTCCTGGAGGCCCTCTTGGAGGCCTCTTGGGCCGTCTTGGGCCATCTTAGGACCATCTTCGGCCGTCTTGGTGGGCTCCTGGCCGGTCTGATGCCATCGGAAGCCGTTTGGGGGGCCTCTCTGGGACGACTTGGGGCCTTCTTGGGGTGCTCCAGGGCCGTCTTGGAGGCCATCTTGGGCGTCTTAAAGGCCTCCTGAGCCGTCTCGGGGGCCTCTTGGGGCCGTCTTGGGGGCCTCTTGGGCCGTTCTGAAGCCGTATTGGAGAACTCTTGGGCGATGTTGGGGCGATCTTTGGGGGCTCTTGGGCCGCGTAGAGCCAACTTCGGCCATCTTGGTGGGCTCCTGGCCCGTCTGACGCCGTCGGAAGCCGTTTGAGGGGCCTTTCTGGGCCGACTTGGGGCCTTCTTGGGGTGCTCCAGGGCCGTCTGAGAGGCCATCCTGGGCGTCTTGGAGGCCTCTTGGCCCGTCTTGGAGCCCTCTTGGGGCCTCTTGGGCCGTCATGGGGCCATCTTGGAGGCCGCGTGGGCGATCTTAGGGCGATCTTGGGGGCCTCTTGGGCCGTCGTGGGTCGTCGGAATGCCGAGAAGAAGGAAATGCCAAAATCCTTCAAAAACCAAAGGAAAACCAATGATTCTGGCCTCTTCGAGCCCTCCTGAAGGACCTCGTGGAGGCCTCTTGGGTCGTCTTGGGCCGTCTTGGAGGCTTCTCGGGCGACCTTGGAGGTATCTTGGATTCTCTGGAGCCGTCTTGGAGGCCGTCTTGGATCATCTTGGGCGGACTTGGAGGCCATCTTGGACCATCTTGGAGGCCATCTTGGAGGCCATCTGGGGTCAACGTGGCCGTCGTGGAGGCCATCTTGAGCCGTCTTGGAGAATTTGTTCCAGACATTGAGGTCGTTTGCAGGCTTGGAGGCCCTTCCGGCACGCCAGCGGGACGGGCCAAAGCCCCAGGGGGAGTTTTTTGGGAAAAGAACCAAAACCGAAATCATCTAGCACGCCAGGCACCCCTGTTGCAAGCAACAGGGGGCGGCGGATCGAAGACGCCTACGGCGAATCACCGCCGCCCCCTGCTCCTTTGGAAGCGCCTCTGTGGCCGACAGCTGGGCCAGAGCTTGGCCAAGCTATCGGGCCAGTTGTTCCCCGAATCGGTTTGGAAAGCCTTCAGGGAACACGTGGGCATCTTGAAGGTCATCTTGGCCGCCTGGAGGCCATTTTGACCCTTTCGGGCCTTCTTGGAGGACGTCTTCGAAGGCTCTTGGGCCATCTTGGAGGCCATCTTGAGCGTATTGGAGGCCTCTTGGGGCCGTCTTGGGGACCTCTTGGGACCGTCTTGGGCCTCTTGGGCGAGCTTCGGGAGCACTTGGGCCGTCTCGGGCCGTCAGAAGGCCGAAACAAAAAAGCAAATGCCACAATCCTTCAAAAACTCATGGGACATCAATGATTTTGGCTTTTTCGGGCCTTCCTGGAGGCCCTCTTGGAGGCCTCTTGAGCCGTCTTGGGCCATCTTAGTGCCATCTTCGGCCGTCTTGGTGGGCCCCTGGCCCGTCCGACGCCGTCGGAAGCCGTTTGGAGAGTCTCTTTGAGCCGACTTGGGGCCCTCTTGGAATGCTCCATGGCCGTCTTGGAGGCCATCTTGGGCGTCTTAAAGGCCTCCTGGGCCGTCGTTGGGGCCTCTTGGGGCCGTCTTGGGGGCCTCTTGGGCCGTTCTGGGGCCATCTTGGAGGCCTCTTGGGCGATCCTTGGGCGATCTTTGGGGGCTCTTGGGCAGTATCGGGCCGTCGGAAGGCCGAAAAGACCCAAATGCCAAAATCCGTCGACAACTCAAAGAACATCAGTGTTTGGGGCCTTTTCTGGCCTTCCTGGAGGCCCTCTTGGAGGCCTCTTGGGCCGTCTTGGGCCAGCTTCGAGCCAACTTCGGCCATCTTGGTGGGCTCCTGGCCCGTCTGACGTCGTCGGAAGCCGTTGGGGGGGCCTTTCTGGGCCGACTTGGAGCCCTCTTGGGGTGCTCCAGGGCCGTCTTAGAGGCCGTCTTGGGCGTCTTGGAGGCCTCTTGGGCCGTCTTCGTGCCTTCTCGCGGCCGTCTTGGGGGCCTCTTGGGCAGTCCTGAGGCCATCTTGGAGGCCTCTTGGGCGCTGAGGGGGAGATCTTGGGGGCCTCTTGGGCCGTCGTGGGTAGTCGGAAAGCCGAGAAGAAGCGACTGCCAAAATCTTTCAAAAGCCAAAGGAAAATCAATGAAGGACCTCTTGGAGGCCTCTTGGAGGACCTCTTGGCCTCCTGAAGGACCTCTTGGAGGCCTCTTTGGCCGTCTTGGAGGCCTCGTGGGCCGTCTTCGGCCATCTTGGATTCTCTTGGGCCGTATGGGAGGCCGTCTTGGATCATATTGGGCGGACTTGGAGGCCATCTTGGACCATCTAACGTGGCCATCTTGGAGACCATCTTGGGCCACCTTGAGCGACAAAAATTCTAACGTTGGAGGCCTTCCGGGTGGCCGGCGGGACGGGCCGAAGCCACAGGGGGAGTTCTTTTGGAAAAAGAACCAAAACCAACATCGAAAGGATCCAGCACGCCAGGCACCCCTGCGATGAATCGACAGGGGGCGGCGGATCGAAGACGCCTTCGGCGAATCACCGCCGCCCTCTGCCTTTGTGGAAGCGCCTATGTGGCCGAACGTTGAGGCCAGACCTGCCAAGCCATCGGACCATGTGTTCCCCGAATCGGTTTGGAAAGCCTTCGGGGAACACGTGGGCATCTTGAAGGTCATCTTGGCCGCCTGCTTTCGGGCCTTCTTGGAGGACGTCTTCGAGGGCTCGTGGGCCGTCTTGGAGGCCATCTTGAGCGTCTTGGAGGCCTCTTCGGCCGTCTTGGGGGCCTCTTGGGGCCGTCTTGGGCGCCTCGTGGGCCGTTCTGGGGCCATCTTGGAGGCTTCTTGGGCGATCCTTGGGCGATCTTTGGGGGCTCTTGGGCCGTATCGGGCCGTCGGAAGGCCGAAACGAAGCAAATGTCAAAATCCGTCAAAAACCTTAGGAAAATCACTCTTTTTTGCTTTTTTCTGGCATTCCTGGAGGCCCTCTTGGAGGCCTCTTGGGCAGTCTTGGGCCAGCTGCGAGCCACCTTCGGCCATCTTGGTGGGCTCCTGGCCCATCGGAAGCCGTATGGGGAGCCTTTTCTGGGCCGACTTGGGGCCCTCTTGGGGTGTTCCACGGCCGTCTTGGAGGCCATCTTGGGCGTCTTGGAGGCCTCTTGGGCCGTCTTCGGGCCCTCTTGGGGCGGTCTTGGAGGCGTCTGGGCCCGTCATGGGGCCATCTTGGAGGCCTCTTGGGCGATCTTTGGGGGCTCTTGGGCCGTCTTGGGTCGTCGGAAAGCCGAAAAGAAGAACATGTTAAAATCATCCAAAAACTTGAAATCACTGACTTTGACCCTTTCGGGCCTTCCTGGACGTCTTGGAGGGCTCTTGGGCCGTCTTGGAGGCCTATTGCGGGCCTTTTGTGCCGTCTTGGGCCGTCTTGGATGCATCTTGGGGCCATCTTAGCCGTCTTGGAGGCCATCTTGGCTGTCTTGGAGGCATCTTGGAGGCCATCCTGGGCCATCTTGGCCGTCCTGGAGGCCATCTTGGGCCAACTCGGGGCAACAAAGGCATTGACAGATGGATTTTCGGGAACCTCCCGGGACCCTGGCGGGACGCGCTGGAGCCCCAGGGGGAGTTTTTTTGGGCACGCCAGGCACCCTTGCGATGAATCGACAGGGGGCGGCGGATCTCATGGCATTCGGCCCATTCCGCCACCGTGCCTGGCTTGTGGGTATGAAGCATAGATTGGATGTTCGCTGGGATCTCGTGGGGAGCCTCTCGGGGGCCTCTTGAAGGCAGTTTGGAGGCCTCTTGGGGGCCCTTGTGAGGCCTCTTGGGGCCCTCCTGGAGCCTCGCCGAGTTACGGGGTGCCTGGATCGTCCCGAACGGCCGCCAGAGAGCCGAGTGAACTCATCTTCTTCGGCTCATCCCGCCACCGTGCCTGGGTCGTGGGTATGAAGCTTATTGGATGTTCATTGGGATATCGTGGGAGGCCCCTCGGGAGGGCATCTTGGAGGCAGGTTTGAAGCCCCTTGGGGGCCGTCCTGGGGCCTCCTGGGGCCTCTTCGGGCCTCTTTGGGGACTTTCGGGGGCCTCTTGGAGCCTCTTGGGCGCCTCTTGAGGGCCTCTTGGGCGCCTCTTGGGCGCCTCTGAGGGTCTCTTGAGCGCCTCTTGGGGCGGAAGGCTCGGATTTTCGGTTCTTGTTCTTCTCTCTCTTGGGCCCCTTTTAGGGCCATCTTGGGGCCCACTTTGGCCGTCTTGGGCGCCTCTTGGAGGCTTCGTGGGCCGTCTTGGGGTGGTATTGGAGGCGAGACCGCCAAAATCATTCAAAAACCATTGGAAAACCAATGAACTTTGCCTCTCGGGGCCCTCTTGGGGGAGGCCTCTTGGGGTGTCTTGGATGCCTCTTGTGCCATCTTGAGGCCATCTCGGGCGTCTTGGAACGATCTTTCGGCGATTCGGGGTCCTCTTGGACCGTCTTGGGGGCCTCTTGGAGCCCTCTTGGCCCATCTTCGCTCCCTCTCGGGCCCGAAAAGTCACGCGGGGAGACGCGCCCCAAGAGATTTCGGAAATTTAGGTCCGGGCTCCTTAAAGACTCCTCAGGACAGGACCTGAGGCTCCAGGGATTAGGCAAAGGACCTCATGACACGCCCACTCAGTGCCCAGAGGCGCGATGGCAGATTCGTCATATCATCATTGTCATTCGTATTCGCATGATTGTGCTTCGTTGTTTCGCGGGTAATCCCACCGTTGTCTGATTAGTACTATTCGCATTCTCAGTATAATTCGTATCATTGTTCTTAGGACTAGTACTCGCAGTATGCCCATCGCTCTTATTAGTATGTTTAGTATGATTTTTAAATCTCTCCATGCCTCCCTTCGCTCCCCCTTCAAATCCTGACCAGCGCTCCTCCCTAGCATCAGCCTCGCCTCAGGTCGCATGAAAGAGCTGCCTGAGGCCACCTTGGTTTTCGTCAACGACCACTCTTTGCCAGAACAGATCCGGGGAGACTTCCAGAAGCTCATGGTCACGCCCAGCCCGCAGAAAATAGCAGGGAGAAGGGGTGAAACCGGGGCCGCATGCTATGATGTCAATGCATTGCGGCATCCATTTGGCCCATCATGTGGCGCGCAATGTGACGCTGTGGTTCGAAACCTAAAATGCGTATGTGCATCGAGGTGTTGGTTATGGTTGCTTGTCGTCGCTCTATGTTATGAGTGTTAGTGACTTGCTGGGGTGCATCCGCAGTCCAGCAGAGCTCCACCCGATAAGGAACAGAGAAGTCACAAGTACCGTAAGGCACGGTGTATAACCCGGTAGGTTCTTCAATGTTCCCCGCTTCCCTTTAAGTTTTCGGTTGGCAATTAAAGTCGTCATTCCCCGCCTTGTCCTGCCCCTCCTCGTCCTCCCACGCAGTGGGCGTTTCCTGCTCAGTCGATGCGTACAAAGAGAGGGAGGAGGATGGGGAGGAGGAGGAGGAGGAGGAGGAGGAGG